GTGACTATATATAACCCAGTACAGCCCACAATGATGGTGTGCGTGTGGGGCAGCTAGACTGCACTAGCCCTGCAGCCAGATATGAACAGCCACAGCAACATTCAGAAATTGAGCAAGCAAAGGTCAGCGTCTGGCCAGTAATTTAAGCAGGAATCAATAAAGAGTTACACTCGTCATTTATAGATGTTGTAAATCCTAGAAAGGGTTTATAAACCCACTACTGAAAAACTGACTAAAATGACAGGCTTACTACTAGGGCTGCACGATTTTGCATAAAATGAGAATCACGATTTTTTGGCTTAGAATTGAGATCACGATTCTCTCACGATTTTCTTTTCCAGTATAAATATTTATTGCAATTATTAACTGCACATCAACTTCGTAACAGTTGAAACTGAACATAAAAACAATAAATAAACATAAATAGCAATAACACATCTGAATACTACAAAAAAATGTCCATCACGCCACTCTTGTGTTAATCTATGCACGGCCTGAAGCATGTGTGTGGGAATGTATGTGAATGTTTTACTGTTACATCTTATTAGTATTTTAAGTATTCTATTTTATTTATTGAATTTTATTGTTTTATTTATATTTTGATATTGCTAGGGATGATGCAATGATCGGGGACCATTCTTCATTTCGTTGTTCTCGTGACAATGACAATAAAGTTTCTGATTCTGATTCTGAAAAACAATAAATGTCTCACATTTTGTCGTTGCCGCAAAATGTTGTACTGCTTGAAATTCCGTCTCCACCATTGCTCGACACTGCGTGTATAGAGCAGGTAGTGCAACAACAGAAAAATAGTTGCGGGACGGCACTGTGTAGCGTTTGTCTAGGGTGTTGATCATTTTCCTAAATCCCTCGTTTTGCACAGTGTTGATGGGAGCCATATCTTTGGTCAGGTGATAAGTGATAGCCTCCGTAATTTCTTTGTGCCTGCGGGAGTTCGACGTTCATAGGGAAGCGCTGTATAAGGTTCCCGTTATTGATGTTTGGGTGGTTGACCGGGACGGATTTTCTCCTGTCACTTTCTCGTCATCCCTGACGTGCTCTCCATTGTTTTTTCCCTGCTAATTTTAGCATCACACGGCACAGCTTCTGTATCACGTGGCATAAGGCTCCGCCCTTGTCATTTGTTGAGCAGAAAGAGTGAGCGCTTGTTTTCATGCACATTACGTCCCGGATCAAAATGCGGTACAATCGTCGTCGTCGGGTTTTTTTGTTGTTGTTTGTTTGTTTTTGTTTTTTGTTTTTTTAAATCGTTGTCATTTGGAAATGAGATCGCACATAAGTATGAATCGAGATCGCGATTTTCTAACGATTAATCGTGCAGCCCTACTTACTACTCTAAATTAGCAATGAGAAACTGGAGAAAAAGCTCCTCAAGGAACAGCAAGACTGAAAAATACCCCAGGAAGGCAACATAACCCTTATTTTTAAATATCTACAAATGAGCCAGAGCTTTAAAATCCCATGGTTAATGCAAGGTGGTTTTGGGCCACGAGAATATCTCCATAGTTCTAGTAGCCGTTACAAGCGCCAGCCCCTTTCTGGGAATAAACTGCAGCATCTGAGTACTATTGTAGTTCTTACAACTCCATTTTTAGCTGTCTTGGTATAATGGTAAATGGACTGCAACATATAAAGTGCTTTCTGCTACTCCTTTTCTATTTTGAGTATGTCTCAGTCATCTAATCAAACAGTGCTTTTATCTATGCCTAAGTGCTTTTTAACATTTGCAGACACACACATTGATGCAGGGTTCAGCATCTTGTACAAACTTTTCCAGCAGTTTCAACTCGTAACAATTCACCTAAACATGCTCAAAGAAGACTCGAAAAGGTTGAGCTACACTTTGTTTTAAGTAGTTTAAGATGTCCAACTAGGCTAAATAACAAAACATGTCAGTAATCCAACTCCAACATCCAAATTTATTTCTAGCCAACACAGTTTAAAGTCACAAGACCTATCAGATGTTCCACACCGCACTGGCTGCCAGAACCAGGCCTACGCATTTTATCTCATGGTCATTACACAGCTAATCACAGAAAATGTTGTTACCGTTAATGACTGTTAAAACAAACTTCTTTTATTCCATTTTAAAGCTATGTTACAATACAACTAGTGTCGTCACTCCCTTGATTATTTCCAAGTCACCTAAAGATGTAAAACATTATCATCTGCTAATTACCTGAACCCCTGACTGGACTATTCAAGTTCCAGTCTTATTTAATGAGTTCTAAGGCCAGGTCCACTGAATCCTTTTGGATTCAATTAGGCTTTGTGTAAGTCACTCACAGAAACCATTAGCTGACTGAAGAGCGTGATCCTCAGAGGCTTCGGCCACAGGTGGCACCAATCCTCATCCCACCACACAAACACGGACATCTTTTATTAGTGGCTCATCCTTTTCAGTGTCATCCCCTCAACAAGCCCATTTTGACCTTTCCTTAAATTAAACCGCACACTTTTTCAAATGGGCTACATTACAGTCAAAGAACAACGCTCAGACACATTTGGCTGACCTATTAGTAAGGACACAGCAAATAGACAGACAGAAATTTTACACTTGGCAGAAAACAGGCTGTTTCAAGTATGCACTATTGAACATAACCCAATCCAGATATCGAGTTCTCCAAGGTGTTTGTTCAAGTTGCTGTATATCACTTATATCTAGTGGTTTTTACAGGTAGTTTAGGGTTCAGACTGCGGCCTAACTGGGTGCCTGGCACATTTTACAAGGGTCCAATCACAGTTCTATTCACACATGGACAGGGGACACATTGATGGCAGAGCAAGTCTGCACTGAACTCAGCTTTCACTCCTCTTAAACCACTGAAATAAACAACTGCAGCCTTCAGGTGCAAAACTGCAAAGGTCTGGTTCAGCAACAGTCACATCACAATTCTGGTTTAATGTCCACAAAGTTCATAAAATACCTCCTTCTGTTTCTTTGCCAAATACTCCCACAGGACTGGTTTAAAAGCCACAGAGCACCCTTTGTTTAGGCGAAGCTGGACATAAGGCAGTTATGCACTATGCCTTGGAAACTTTGAAAGACTGTCAGAAAGTCTGAAGATCTAATGCTCAAGACAACTTGAAAACATACAAGAAAGTCTGACTCCTTTGAAGTGACAAAGCAAACAAAACCAAGTATAATCTGTCTAATTCAGAGTTAGGGTCAAACTCAATCCCAGCAGATTATCCGATCTCACTGCCAATTAAGACTTAGTGCCTCATATGATCCCTTTCCAGAAAACCTATTAGCAAATCTCAGCAGGTTCCAAAATTACAAAGCAACTCTGCAGGTCACCTCCACACAGGCTCCTGCTGTTCATGCATATTCTGCATGTACTTGGAAATCCCAGAACAGAGTCATAGTTCAGAGTGTAAAATATTTCAAATGTAATAATCTTATTTTTTGCAAAATTATCCAGACTAAAAGATCACTATTAATTTCTTAATAACATGGCATGTGAATGGAGAAGATGCTCATGAGGACCATGAAATAACACAGAAACTTAAAGAAATTCAGCATCTGCAGTAATCATGCTAAGCTCTCTAAACAGGCTTAGTTTTAACATTAACATACAGAGCCAGGTTTCAATCAGCTCTCCTCCCAATCACCTACTCACAAGCTCACTATGGCTGGTCAAAATGACCTTTGTTCTGACTTGAAGGCTTGTAAAGTAAAAGGTCAACTATAGGTTATTATCCCAGCCCTGTTTGTTGAGTTATATGGTCCATATCTGGATCCCTTGGTCCATTAGGCAATTTGAGTACATTCGGTTTAATTCCTTCATTTTGTTTCCCCAACTTTAAAATAAATAAATCTTCATTTCATTCCATGAAAACATACAAAAAAAATCCAAGTGAACATAACATTCGTGCTACTGAGCCAAACTCAAATGTTGTCTGACATTTTAGCAAACAATCATCAATAAATAAACAGAGTCTTCATGTTTAACATCACATTGCAACTGCTAAATCACCAATGTAGCTACTTGGATCCAACCAAGCCCTTGGGGAAGAAGGCACACAGGCATGAGAACAGAAAATCCTTCAGTCAACTCAGAGTTGACTCGAACACACTCCGACAAACTGAGATTCGAAAACAAACTGCCCAAAATAACAAAACCAGACCTTCTGCATGTGGATTTAAACAGCTGGTTTTAAAAAAAGAAGGGCATCAGACTTTACACAGGTCGCCATTATTCACCAATTCAGGGTTTAAAACTCTATGCATCACATTTATTGTGAATGCAGCAAAAACAAATGATCACAATTATTTAGGGGGACAAGCACGTACAACACTAGCATCCATTAGTACAATACATCCACAATGAAGCTAATACTAATCAATTATCTTCTCTTGATAGTTACAGAAAACCAGAACCGTAGCTTTATGCTCTACATGACATGTAAATTAAAGTCCTTGTCATGCCTTCAGTCTGTGCCAACCATTTCTTAAAACTTTAAAGAAGTCTGCACAAAGGATCAATTCCTGAACAGTTTCAGTTTCTGTTTGTGGAAGCGAAGGGCCCAAAATAACAGACGGCTAGCTTAAACAGATGGTGGCTTATGGATGAAGTGAGAGGCTGCAAGGGCCATTGTAAGTTAAAAATGATTCGGTGTACTGTGAATCATGCAAAGAGAGTAGAGTCAGAAATATATAGAGTTGGAAATGAGCACTACTGCCCCCCTTTACCTACACCTAGTTTTCCAACAGACATAAATCTGGGTTAAAAGTTTCATTTGATCATTTGTAATCATGCTGAAGTGTTCAGTATGTCAGATTTTGGTTCATGATCCTAATTCTGAAATTGACTAGATAACTTGATAAGAGCACACCAAATCAACAACAATTGTCACTGGTGAAGCATGAGGCATTCTCTTCCCATCGATCAAAAGTGAGCAGCAGTTTCCGTTTAAGGTTCCTATAGAAAGAGCACAAAAGCAGCAGGACTAAGTCTGTGACAACAGATACGTACCGGTGGAGTTCCATTTTGGAGGCCAGTACACATCTCTGACTGAGGATGAAGCTGGAGGCTTTGGACTGTGGACCAGAAGACTGGATCTGCATAGCTGCCCACAGCCTTCCTGCTTAAGTAACTCAGCCAGCCCCAAGCGTGACTTCTCCCCTACCAGCCCTTTCCGGCTCTTGTTGCAGTTGCTTCAATTTTGCCAAAGTAATATCCCTGCTACCAAACAGCTCTCTTCATCATGCAAAGCAGGGTGCCAGCCACCCCCCTCCCCCTTCTCTTTAAAGCCCCCTTCTCAGGGTGATTCTTTCCTTATGCGTACATGCGACGACAGCAAGTCAGCCAGCAAGTCTGCAAGCGAGGGAACCGTCTAAACAGTCAGCCAGCTGTGTTTTTCCCATGGCAGCGGCACCAGCCAGCAAATACGCGCACGCTTCGGTCTTGGCTTTTCGCCGCCGTGGCGACAGCAGAGGTATCCAGGCAACAGGCTCCTGCACAGCCCACTCCTGCGCTCCTGTGGAAGACGCTGCTGTGGAGAAATCCACACGGCGGGATCCAGCAGTTCACAGCGGCTCAACTCAGGAGGTTGCAAGCGGGGGCTGGGGCATGAAGGGAGGTATCCTTTACATCTGTCGCTCTCCTTCCCCTCGCCGCTTCTGCTACATCTCTCTCATACCTTTTGTCTCTCACTTGATCACCCCTTCTTTCATCTACCCCTCCCCTCCCTCTCTACTTTATCGCTGTGACCATCCACACACTCCCTCTCTCACCATATACCCACCCACCCAACTCTGCTCTGTCACTCTCCTAAATAAATAGACTAAAGGGAGTGAGCAGCCAGATGTAGTGATGTATGGCGGAAGTGGAATAAGGATAGTCGAATATTTCCATCTCTGTTGTCACAGGAGGCAAACATTCGCAGCGACCACGCAAAGTTCTTCATTTCTTTATTCAGTGTCCTGGCCTGCTTCGGCACAGCTAAAATCCTTTCTTTCACTTTCAGCTATCATCAGCTGGCATTGTGCCGAACAATGTAACATCAACACACATACGTTATGAATCTACCTAACAAGTCAAAATGACCCGCATTGGCGCTCCTAATCAAACATAATATTGGATGGAACATGCGACAGCTTTCTATAAAGGCTCATGTGAAGTAGAATCTGTATATACTGGGGGGGGGGGGAATTTTCAGCCGACATTTGGGCTTTCCTGCTGTGCTGCGATTCGCTGTTCTGCAGCCTGTACCAGGTTGTATTGGTTGCTATGCCAACTTTTATGTTAAATTGGGAATTTGGGAGTCTTTTTTTTTTTTTTCCCCCTGTTTTGTTACGAGTATTAAAAGGAGTAGTAGAGCAGATTCACAGCACGCAACCTCCTGCCAGAAAAGCCCCAGCTTTGAACTAGGAATCATTTTGCAGTGAAGTGACAGTACTAACCATCGGACAAACATGCCAACCAAATTAACTTATCAAGTAGTTTACAGCTGGAAACTGAACCTTTCACCACCTTCAGTGTCCAATCAATTTGGGGCATTTATGTCTAGAATTGAGTTTCATAAATTTGCAGGGCCGATTTCATGCTCATTTAGAGATAGATATGTGCCTTTCATCACACATATCTTTATTGGAAAAATTCTTTATTTTCCTTAGGAACAGACTGTAAATGAATATAAACAAGAAAAACAACCTCTGCCTTTTTTCCATTTTAAACAAATGTATCAATGTATTTCTACTATACATGATTGACAGTGCCTTTTCCAGTCCTGAAGATGTGTCTTCCTGTGCAGCTGTCGTGATAAATGATCGACTTGAACACATTTTCCTTTTTTTCAGGGTTAAAATTAGAGTCGTGCTTCACCCTGAAGGCTACAAACTAATTCAAAAGTGGATGTAAATACTACAAGAGCTGAAAATAAAGGACTTTTTTAAAATTATTTCCCATTGGACAGCTGGCTTGACAGGCACTAAATCAGCCTCAATAAAGCAGCGAATTTCTATCAGCGCAGAAGGGCTGACATGTGCTTTCAGGGCAGGACACAGAATGTATAAAAAATACACTGAGACAGACACACAAACACAAAATACACAGGGTTCCAAGGGCAGACTGTACTCTTGGAGGTCGGAACAACAAGAGCTGGAGGAGATGCATATATGCGCTTTGGTTCAGCACATGAAATCAGACACTGAGGCAACACTGAAAAACTGAGCACTTCAACACAACACAGGCATACAAACATACGCTGTCATTGTCTCATTTATAAAGTCCGATATACAGCTTTAGATTAAAAAATAAATAAATATGAAGATGTATATAATTACGTTAAAATTCCGGTTCGTCCATAAAGTACAGCTGCCAGTGTAAGACAGAACTATTAAAGAGAGAGGTAGCATGTGCCCTGGAAAACGGGACTTGACGAATGAAAGGTCTATGCAGAGAGCAGTTTGTCACACTCCACTTAAGCACTGAGTCAAAAGCTGCCGAAACCACGCTCACACATCACAAGCTATTACAATCCATTTGGGAGGGGTGAGGAGGAGGAAGAGGACAGTGTGAGGCACCTGTAATAAGCTATCAGTTATTTCTATCTGAACACCCGTTACAAATGACTTTGGCTGATCACTACAGCCAGTAGTGACTTTGAAAACATCCAGGGTTGTAATTTGGCAATTAACAACACCCTCAGAATTACAAAAGAGGCCAGGTTATTTTGTTCAGAAACACTCCAAACTGTGTGTTTACAAAAACTTCCAGAGAACAGAAAACAGCAGCAAAACCCAGCACTGAACAGCGTAGGCAACAACAACAGATACGCCTTTAAACAACAGTCATATCAGCATAAAGGAGGAGGAGGGGTGGAGGTGGGTTGCCAAGAGGCTTATAGATGTGCAGCAAGTGTGGAAACCTTGTTTAGGGCACCTGTTCTGGTCATTTCCATCGCCGCAGTTTTATATTTCGACTCCAGTTAATTAGCTTTGAATGACTGGCAGTTCAGCTTTTTCCCATGTATTTATCTTAAACTGCGTCTTGGTGCAGTACCTCTGCCTTTACATTACCCGATTATGATTCACTGTTTCACAAATTGAAAGATTAAACAGCAGGTGGGTGGGACTGCTGTTCTCAAAGCTGTGGCTGCATGCCTGAGATGACCATAGTAGGGATATCCCTCTCTATAATATCACAGCCAGAAGTAGAGAAGACATAAATAAATTTTAAAAAAAAACAAAAAAAAAAAAACAACAACTCTGAAGCCTGAGCTTTTGGCTCACATGGATAACCTGTATACATGCTGAAACTTCAGCCAACTTAATATGAGCATCCACCATGCCAACAATGGACAAAAAATATGGAAAAGCATAATGTGCCTTTTAAGACTTTATTTGTATAGAACCTTTAGTAATACTGGGATCCAGGGAAACGGGAAAAGGTGAAAAGAGGAGCAGTGTAAGCTCTGAAAAATAAAGAAATGCTGCAAATAGCTCTACTAATAGAAAGAGAGAAGGAGAAGAAAGAGATGAAGTGAGCAGCACATCTCGTCTCCCCCGAGGCCTGATGCCATTTCAGGTTGTGTCACCGCAGGAGGCTGCCGAGTACAGGTGGCTCAAATGCCACAGACAAACATACACACAGCTCATAAACCGCAAGCTACGTCCCACACAGTTATTTCAAAAGCTAAATAAAACTGCGACGTGCACACATTGTACTGTATACACTGAAAAGAACAATGCTAACAGATTGTATACCACAAAACTCCCAAACTATAGCTACACCACAACGGCTTCCACAGTGTCAGTTTCACAAAGTCTTACATTTAATACAAGAAGAGTGAGTAATGAAGACAAATATTTAGCAGTCATCAACAGAGCCCAGCTGATGCAGGATTTCTAAGGCTGATAGAGATACCAGTATTTGGAGATGTCAAAATACCGGTTATACCAGCTGATGTAACCAGGCACACAACACAAAGAGATTTGCCCAACATTTGTTAGCTGTAGTTCGTCTGGGATAATATGAGATTTTCAATGTTTAAAAATAAACTTGTGTTACTGATACAACAAGTCGTGGATTACTCATTTACTGCTCTGATCAGCTGGTTGTTGTAGCGATGTTTGAAATACCACCGAATGCCCTCTAGTGGATAAACTATTCAACATTAACTACGACAAAATCGTTGAACTGCTTTTGCCCAGTCTCATTTTCCTTTTTAAATTTTCTGTCATAAGCATTTTTCATAAGCAGGGTGTTTTTTATGACTGTGCGGGTTTGTTCCTGGAGAGCTTAAATTACAATGCATCAATTATACATGTGTGAAAGGCAACGTAATTCATGCACAAGTAGTATAACCAGAATGACTACTAAGCTGTCTATGTCCACAACAGAGTACAAGTCAAGTTTCAGTCACACCAGCTTTACACATTGTAGAGACACCTGTGAGTCGAGGCACAGGTCACAGTGACACATTTTAACAGAGCAGCTAGTGTTTCCTCAGAGCAGAGTAACGATGAGTCAGGGGTGGATAAATGGCAGTAGAAAATGAAATTAAGAATTAAGACCTCTATTGTTTGCAAATGTCCAGTATTAAATCCCCCAAAGCTGCATGATTTACCTTGGCTTTTACAAAGAAATAGAACAAAAAAAAAAAAAAAAAAAGTATAAAATCAGTCAAATCACAGAATTAGATGGTACTTTTACTTATTTCTAATCATTAGCTATACTCTGGAGAGAAGTCCTCCTCCCTTTGATGTTAGAAATTAATATTTAGAGGTTGTGACATGATCCAGCAATGATTCCAGAAAATGTATTTGTTGAAAGTAACATGAGTTAAAGTAACATGTTAAAGTAACATGTTAAAGTAAGTTAAAGTTAAACAAGTTAAAAAGTTAAACAAGTTAAAGTAACATGAGTTAAGCCCATCTTCAATATGGACAAATAAAGCAGGGTTTTCATCAAATATAAGTATTTACTTTCTACTTCTAATTTAAATGAATCCAATCTGGAGATTACATGATCAAAAGTACAGTATCAATCGTAGCAGTTCTCCTGCTGGTGCTGAAACAGCCCTCCTCTCTAGTTACACTCAACAAACAGCCTCCTCTTCCTAATGTGGGTGTGTGTCCGTGTGTTACTGAGGGACGAGGATGACATCATCAGGCTGGTCAGCAGTACTTTTTGCCTCAGCAGGCAAGAGAGGGGGGAAAAAAACTATAGCTGACTAAGAGGAGAGGAGCATGAGGAAGAAAGGGAGCTTTAATTGTTTTTGTGTATGTATATATCTATCTCTCCAGTTATACTGCAATAGGTATAGGCTGATGGGGGATTCCCATGATGCACTAAGTGTTTCTTCTTTGCTCACTATGTATTAATAGACCTCTTAATAACATACTTGTTATTAATCTCTGGCTCTCTTCCACAGGATGTCTTTTGTCCCATCTTCCTTTTCTCTCCCCAATCGGTTGCTGCAGATGCCTGCCCCTCACCGATCCTGGTTCTGCTAGAGGTTTTTTTCCTGTTAAAAGGGAGTTTTTCCTTCCCACTGTCGCCAAAGGGGTGTCATATGATTGTTGGGTTTTTCTCTGTATGTATTATTGTAGGGTCCTTACAAGATAAAGCACCTTGAGGCGACCGTTGTTGGGATTTGGTGCTGTATAAATAAAATTGAATTGAATTTTCTGAAACTGTCATATGTAGGAGTATTATAGGAGTATTGGAGAGATTTCGTTCATAGCAGACTGCCATGTTCAAAATAGTTCAATTGGTGACTAAAGCTCCTAGAAGAAGTCAGTTTTGGGATTACCGAGAGATCAAGGCAGGACATTTGAGACTGAAAATTTTGGACAGTAAAGCTTCAAATTAACCATAACACAATATTTTATGGATCATTCTACAGCCCCAGTCTCCCATTTCACATCAGGAATTTTCTTATGAAGTCATGAACACTTGCTTTAACTTAATGGAGTCACACCTAAACTCCAAATGCTTTTAGTGAGGTATGACTGGCCTTCTGAGCCCAATACCTACATTTGTATGATTCGCTGTATGTGTAGTCTGAATGGGACTTGTTATAGTGCACAGGACAAGGCTTACAGTGAGTTGTATGTGAAGCTGAACACTAAGGAAGGAGAAAAGGATTTGGAGTAAGGGGATAGGGAGAGAGATCGAGCTGGAAAGGATGTACAGCAGATTAAGGTTAGTGATGGAGATGTACTAACAAGTGAAGACAGTGTGCTGAGAAGCACATAAGAAAAGGAATGTCAGTAAAAAAAAGAAAAAAGAAAAGTGGTGATGAGGATGATGAGTGGAAGCAGGTGGTACAGACAACATACCTGTGGAGGTACAGAGGTGTGTATGAGAGAGGGCAATAGATTGTTTAACACAATCTTGTAGAGTGGGAAGATGCATGGCCTTCTCTATAGTGTGTTGTATCAGAAGTGCTGTAGTAATTACAGATGGATAAAAGTGATTCACTACACAATGAAAGGGAGTAAAGAGAGGAACTGTGGATGAGTCAGAAGTGGCAGCAAACTATGTGCAGGTGGTGCAGGGCATGTATGATGACAGAAGACGATGTCTACAGCAGGAGTGACAGATGGTTTCAAGGTGGGGGGGGTGAGATTACATCAGGAATCAACAGCTTCTTACAATGGTGATGGACAGCAAAACAGATAAAGTCAGACAGGAGTCTACATGGAATATTATGTTCATGACAACGCTGCTCTGTAGACAGAGTAGGGAGCAGGTGGAAGAAAGCCTGGAGAGGTGGAGGTATGCTCTGGAGAGAAGAGGAATGAAAGTCAGTGGAAGCACGACAGAATACATATATGTAAATGACAGGGAGACCGGTGCAACAGCGACAAAACAGAAGTAGAGTTAGTTTATGGTAGTGAGACCTTGTATAATGGCACTAACAAAAAGACAAGAGAAGCTGAAGGTGACAGAGTGGAAGATTTTCTTTAGAGAGAGCAGGATGGAAAATTAGAAAATAGATTTGAAATGAGTGTATCATAGTGACAGCTAAGGCTGAACGCTCTGGAAACAAAGTGAGAGGCAGGGATGGCTTGAGGGACAGACACCCCCGTTATACTTCATGAAAAAGTTTAAATAAAAGGAGCATTTGGTACGGCTTGGAAACAAACCACTGAAGTTAAGAACTTTAGCTGAAAGCAACAAAATTTAAACTTTGACGATTACATGAAGTTGATCAAATATTTTACTACTGTTGGTTTTGTTTTTCCAAGAAAATCTCTAACATGAACTACTAAGTTTAGTTGACTTGGTGTGTGGGACAATCAAAGTGTCACGGTAACTGAGTACACACTGTCAAAGAAAATTAAAAATTACATGGCTGCTAGTCTCTGCTTGGCCAACAGTCTTTGTTTCTGTATTATGACAGACAAAGTTACAAACAATATTGTCATGAGTGACTGAGTCAGCTTTGTAAAGACTACTGATTAGTAAAGAGGAAGATGAATTAATGTGGTACCAAACAGTTTCCCAGGAACATCAGGGAGGGTGACAGACTAGAGGGGCAGAAATATAGCAAGAGAAAAGACAAGAAAGCTGGATCATGGTGGAAACCTCTTGTGCTGAGCCAAAGCAAGTGCCTCCCAATCAAGCAGTTTCGTGTAATTTGGGAAAAGGACCCAAAACAAAAACAAAAACAAAAAACCCCACACACCCTGCTGCTGAAACACAGACATGCATGTCTCTCAAGGGATATGAATGGCTAATAAGCTGCAGATCAAGTGGCAGGCAGGTACGCTAAGACTGCTAAGGAGGTCTGTCCACAAGACAAACTAGTGATATCAGTGGTCCATTTAATCCCAGACAATATACGAGTATTGTCACGGTTCTCACAGCACACAGGGTGTGAGAACACTGCCTGCAGTACACAGATAGCTTCGCATTACTGCACAGACGGCAAAACTGAGTGGAATACAGCTGAAGAAAAACCAGCCTTTGTCCTTGCATACCTCTCCCAGGATGTTTTCAGGTACACTGAAAGGTACATGGATCATTTTACATGAGAGGACCGAGGAGAAAAACCTGAAACCGACAGTGTTCAGCAGAAGGCGGATGCTGGGTGGGGACTTTTTTTCATTATTTTGGTATTCTCATCTGCACCTTGACCTTCTGCACCAACCTGTGGCACAAACCCCAGTTTTAGAAAAAAGGATCAAAGTGCCTCACAAAGAAAACACTATTCGACTGAGTGTTTTACTCAAGAGATTCAGCATTCAGCAGTTTTGCACCATGTAAAAGTCCTCTGTTTGAATTCTGCTGTCATCCACTCTGACATATTGGACCCAAGCCTTCTCCAGCTAATGGCTATATGACATTCAAGCATATTACAAGCTGTTTAGCAACAGCAAAGGATAAAGTGAGTCACTGCAAACTTAGACACATAAGATTTTAGGCATAAGAGTTAAAAGGTATCAACATCAAAGGAAAAAGTAAATATCAAAAGACATTTTTAAGATAAATGCCATTTGTCAAGTTACTGAATAATCAAGGTTACACTACTGAACAAAATTATAATGACTATGATTTTTTGGCTATAATCAAGTAGCAAATATATTCAACATGAATATCTGGAGTTTAACAGCAAAACTGTTAATGGTCTGTGAAAATTCCAAGATAAAGCAGTTTGCTTTTGTTGCCTTCAGTGGTGATTTAGGAAGTACAGACATAACAGAACAGCACGGTGCTGTGTGGGGTGGGAGCATAACTCTGCGTTGCTGTCATTTGACCTGCAATGCTTCTGATGTCCAGCCTGGACAATGATGTCATTGTTGCTGGGTGAACCATTCTAGAAAAAAGAAAAAAAAAAAAAAAAAAAAAAAAAAAAAAAAGGGGCAGCAGGTGATCTGCAGATGGATGCCAAGTCAAATTTGCAGTGTTGTGAATGTGGGGACATTGAACAAAATACCAGTTTAAAATCACTCATTTAGCTACATTACCTCCACTTATTACAGTGAAACACATTTTGGAAATCACTTTGATGCTGCCAAGCATCCAAATGAAAATGAAGGGAGACGTGCTCAGTGGAACAAAGGGTATAAAATGATGTGGCGAGCAGATTCACAGGGCACAAATCAGCAGTCCTCACACTAATGAGACAGTAGATATTTGCCAACAGGAGGTGAACTATCACCACAGAGATAAAATACCCCCTGAGTCACCATCACATACATTTTTAACAACAACCCAAGAAGGACAAGCCTGCAAAGAGGTTTTTAGAGTCCTTTAGGAAAAACAACGGCAGCTCTAGCAAAGGAGAAAAGTACCCTGTCATCACACGAAGAGATGAATCCTATCCTGTAACCGAGCGCCAAACTCCCTCTGATTGGACTCTGAGTTTAACAGCTACTGCAGTTCTATAAAAAGGAAAGCTCCTCAACTGGTGAGAGCAGCTTTTTTAGATGGGGGGGCTCCGAATAATGAATGAATTTGTGGATGCTGATAACAGCTGCAGTGAGCGTTTCAGCTGAACTTTGAGTGTCCATGGTAAATGGCAATGGTTCAGCCAGACAGGTAGACGGGCAGAGAGACTGAGCTCCACAATAATCACACTTCCCTGAGCCTATACTACAAATACTTGCCAACTCTGCTTTGGAGATGATAATACTGTAGGTAAAGACATAGAAAATGGTTAATATGGTTAACCCCGAAATCCTACATCGGCTCCATTGCTATGGCCGGCTGAAACTTACGAATCACGAGTCATCCTGGCGTTGGTAACCGCTCAATCTGGCACTTCCACCAACTGTACAAGAAAATCGGTCGCTGGGAAAGTTTGGTCTAGTGTCCACTTTCTCCACAGGCTAGCTGACTGAGCAGCTGCTTTGGCCTGGCTCCACGACTGACTTGACTCCACAAGGGAGAAAGTGAGAGTGTACGGGCATCCACCCAACCACAAGGCCTGCTGGAAGTAACCCCCTCCCCATTTCAGCCCATACACCCACCCGGACTCACTCACCTCACAGGAGCCTGGGCTAAAAGTGGAGCAGCTAGGTGGGGGCATGTAGGGAGTGTAATGAGTCAGGGGTTAAAGAATCTTTTTCTACAGTCCAAAAATAGATACTGTGACCTGCACACATCAGCTTAGCTCATGTGGGGGACTGTCAATGGTCTCCCAATTCAAGGTTCAACTCCAAGACATGTTTTACCATCTATTACCAAAGAAGGAACCTGAAAACGAGCGTTAAAATCCTTATATAGGTTTTTAAAAACCCGGACAAAATAAAATAAAATGTTTTTTTGTCAAATTAAATTAATCCATTGGATTAGACTTTTTATTTATATTCTTAGGATATCCAGTCAGGTAGACGTTCTGCAAACAGAAGGACACAATCCACAATTATGTGCCGATATCTGAGAGTCTTTGGGAGTTTTCCCACTCTGCTTACAGTTTAAACAGTCTGATTGGAAAGTGAAAACAAAACAGAGACATTTGTGCCCTTCTACATCTCTCAACAAGTTAAACCATCTGCTAAGGCCATTCTAGTCACAGAGCAGCTTATGTTTTAACGGCTTTATAATTACACAAAACCACAACAAAAAAGAAGAAAAAAAAAACCCAAACAAA